GAGGCGGTGGATCACTGGATGTGTTCAAGGTCAGGCTGGATGGAGCACTGTGCATCCTGGTCTGGTGGGAGGTGTCCCTGCCTATGGCAGGGGTGTTGGAAATAGACGACCTTAAAAGATCCCTTCCAACCCAAACCATGCTACAGTTCTATGATTACCACCTGACTCCATCTATTTTATTTAGGACCCCATTTAACACCCCTCACCCCCCACCCACCAAGAGCTCTTTATTTTGCAGAACTCTCAGCCATTTAGAAGGTCTTTAGATGAATGACTGCATTTTGCCTCTCCAAAGAGCCAAGCTAAGTCTTAGAATGCACTGGCTCAAACTGCAGTTTGTTAGTGAGAAGAGCCTGAAAATTCCCCTATGGAGACAGGGGGGTAGGGAGGTCGGTGGAAGCGGCCTAACACATCTGCAATTATCTGGATGCCATAAAGCTGGTGGGTAGAGGAAAGCAGAATAGCATATAGGGCTGTAGTCCATTGAAACACATATCTATCCATAAGGTCTATTTGTTGAGCTATACTTACCCATATTAGAGTGTGAATACAAAGGGATACAAACACCATCAGAGGGAGCACAACTCTTAGGAACACATAAAAAGCGTGTTTATAAGCCAATGCTGGGACTCAAGATGTGTCCTGCAGCATTACTGGGTTGGCCTCCCCATGGCTATAAACCAGGGCTTAGCTATGGATGTGTCTCTAGCTGCCAGCTCCAAGTTTAACCTGGCAGGAGGAAACCAAACCAAACCTTTGGAAAAAAACCGAGCTGTTACAACTCTCCAGAGCAATTTTTCAAGTAGAAGTGTTTTAAACATAAATGCTTTGCATGTTTTTTTTTCCTACAGAGTAGGATAAAAAAATGTCCTGCAACCCCAAACAACCACGTTCTCTGCACTTGCCCTTTCTTTGCGGCTTGATTTGCTACAGGGGACATCCCAGGTAGTTTCCAGTACAATACTGTGCAGTTAAACCAGCTGCCTCCACCACCACCGGCTGCAGAAGGCAGTGGAGATACTTTCAAGACGCTGGCTGATCATTCGCCCAGACCCATCCCACAGGGAGG